ACGAGATCCGAGCCCGCAAGTGGGCTGTGCGCTTCGTCGTGGCGCACGACGAAGCGTACTCTGGACCGACTGGCTCTCGCGCCGCGCGCACCACCTTGCAAGTGGTGCATGTTCGCGAGGCTCCGCTTACCTACTCGGGCTCAGCAAAGCCACTCCTGTGCTTGCGACGCAATTCCCCGCACTCCCGGGCGGCCATCCTTCTACTTGTCAGACCCGAATTGGATACGCCGGCAAAATTACGCAGGTGAGTGATCTGCCATTCCATACGTCGGAGGTCTCTTACTGCAGTGACACGGCCAAAGACATCCATGACTGCAGGAGTGCAACGAACCAGCCCTATTGCGAATCATCTTCCGAGTGCGCAGACGCCACGACAGACAGATATCCAGCACAAACCGCGGAACCTCATGTGGGTGTCAGCTCATAGACAGCTTGCCATCCGCGCGACAGCGGCCGACACGCTGTTGCGGTAGGTTTGCAAAGCTCATGTTCTGTCGACAGAAATACACGGACCGAAGCCCTTCATTCTGCCACTGCAGTGATCTTCCAGGTTCCAGGCTGAGTACTGGAATTATCGACCGTTTGCCCGCCGTCACGGCTGGCAGCTTTCCTTGATCTCCCAGCCCAGCCTTGAATCAAGCGTCTTCAGAAACGCCGGGCAATGACTCCGTTGACTAAGGTTGCCAGAGTAAAAGAGGCTTTGACCTCGCCCAGCTTTCGTGCTTGATGATGCGCGTGCCGTTTCGGGCCGCGCGTTCGTGTCGGCGCGTGCCGAGCCAACATAGCTGGCTGCGAGCGCTGCAAGACACTATCCCTGCGCGCTGGCGGCGCTGCCCGCGCGAGACTAACGCGCCGGAAAAACCGGCGACCTTGGTCTCCTGGCGACGCTCTGCCTTTTTTGCCGGCGGCCGAAGCGAAGAAGTTCTCTCACGAGGACGTGTGGGAGGCACCGTTCTGCACGCTGGCTCACCTGCAGACCTTGTCCCGGGTGCCGGAAGACTCTTGGCACTACACAGGCTGCGCAACTTGCTTTCGCAAGACTTGCGACAAACACGACGAAGCTGGCGTCCGGCCGTGCTACAGCCTGGAGGCTACTGTGTGGGATCACACGGCCACGCTGGACGCGAGGATCTTTACCAAGTGCGTCGACGACGTGCTGCGTGCTGCCTTGGCGTTTCGGCCGGGCGACGCGGTACAGTCGCGAGAGAATGCGGAGCACGAGATCCGAGCCCGCAAGTGGGCTGTGCGCTTCGTCGTGGCGCACGACGAAGCGTACTCTGGACCGACTGGCTCTCGCGCCGCGCGCAACACCTTGCAAGTGGCGCATGTTCGCGAGGCTCCGCTCACCTACTCGGGCTCAGCAAAGCCACTCCTGTGCTTGCGCGCGGCCGCCTCACTCCCGGGCTGCCCATGCATCTACTTGTCAGACGCGAACTTGGATGACGCAGGGCAAATTACGGCAGGTGAGGATCTGCCAGTCCAGTACGCGGAGCTCTTACTGCGAGTGACGGCCAAAGATCCTGTGCAGGAGTGCAACGAAGCCGAGCGCGGAGTGCGAATCATCTTCGAGTGCGCAGACGCCACGCAGCCAGATATCCGCGCGGACCTCATGTGGGTGGTCAGCGTCAGAGACAGCTTGGCCATCGCGCGACAGCGGCCTGACACGCTGTTGTGGGTGGTTGCAAAGCCTCATGTTCTGTTCGACACGGACGGCGAGCCTTCCTTGCGTCACTGGCAGGTGATCTTCCAGTTTCCGGCTGCTGACGGAGATATCGAGCCGTTTGCCCGCCGTCGGGCGTGGCAGCTTTCCTTGGACTCCCAGCCCAGCCTTGAGATCAAGCGTCTTCAGGAAGACGCCATGGCAATGACTCCGTTGACTAAGGTTGCCAGAGTAAAAGAGGCTTTGACCTCGCCCAGCTTTCGTGCTTGATGACGCGCGTGCCGTTTCGGGCCGCGCGTTCGTGTCGGCGCGTGCCGCGTCGGGCCGCGCGCTCGTCTCCTAGGTAGTGGCGCTCACCGGGCTGGAGGCTGGAAGATCCGTCTCGGAGCAGGGGTTTTAATTCTTGCTCTAAGGAGAGGCGCTCACCGGGCTGACGCGTGCCGTTTCGGGCCGCGTGCTCCAGCCCAGACTACAGCACGGCTTGGGCAGACGCAAAGAAAAGGCGCTCTCGGGGGGGAGGGAGGAGAGTTGAACTTGAAGCGCTCGTTGGGAGCTTTGGAAAGGGAAAGAGAAGAAAGAGAGAGAGAGAGAGAGAGAGAGAGAGAGAGAGAGAGAGAGAGAGAGAGAGAAGAGAGAGAGAGAGAGAGAGAAAGAGACAGAGAAACAGAAAGAGAAAGAGAAAGAGAAAGAGAAAGAGAGAAAGAGAGAAAAAGAGAGAGAGAGAGAGAAGCAAGGGGCCAAGGACAGTTCTCCAAACTATAGTTGTTCACTGCTTTGAAACTTCCGCCCCCCGGCTCTGCCGGACCTTACTTGTAAAAACTATTGACGAGAAACTTGATGCAAAGGCAAACGAATCAAAAAATAGCAATGAAGAGAAGGAAAAGATTGACAAAATCTTTGAAAAGAAACAAATAGGAAGGCCGTCTGGCAGTTTTCAAGATAAGCAAAAGCAATATATGGATATGTTAAATAAGAACAAAATTAAATCTCCAAAAACAGAAACTATTGAATTTTATAAACTGTTTAAGAACGAAGAAGGAAAATACGAATTAATATAATAAATATCTGAATAATTCTAATAATATGAATTTATTAGAATTATTTTCAGGCAGTGGTTCTGGGGATAATTATGTAATACATAAGCAGGACGATTTATACAAAATACCTGCTGAATTGATTTGTGAGATTTTGACGAGTTTGGTGGATTAAGGAATTTGAGTTGGGGTTGTGCTTGAAACTCGAGGAAAATGTCATTTAGTTGCTGCCCCCCTTTTGTGTGGCTGGCTGCCCCCCTTTTGTGTGGCTGGCTGCCCCCCTTTTGTGTGGCTGGCTGCCCCCCTTTTGTGTGGCTGGCTGCCCCCCTTTTGTGTGGCTGGCTGCCCCCCTTTTGTGTGGCTGGCTGCCCCCCTTTTGGGTGGCAGGTCATGTCCTCCTCCATTAATATTGCCTGACTATTAAATTAACCCATAAACCTTACAATAAAAAACATTGTAAGATTTATGTTTGAAAATTTGGGGATTTTATATTTTGGGATTTTGGAAAAATATATTTTGGGAATTTGGGATTTTTAAGATGGTCTGGTCTTAAAGACATGCCACCTATCAATAGTAGCATGGAGATGACTGACAAAATGCAAAAATGTAGGCGATGTGAAAACACTTATCCACCTGACCTATTTAATGTTAGAGTGCATATTTGTGATTACTGCCGAGAACAAAGTAAAATTGATAGGAAGGAAAAGAAAAGGAATATAGTAAAGTGCGTAATCAGATTGAAATAGAATGTGATATTTGCCAGTGTAAAGTGAGGAAATCTGCAATATCCAAGCATTTGAAAACGTTGAAGCATATTGAGAATGAGAATAAAGTAAAAACAACAGTTGAGGAAGAAAAACCTAATGAAATTGAAAATTCAAAACCTCCAGTAGCACCAGAGGTCAAAAAGGAAATGGAGGAAGTGAAGGACAAAGTTTTTCAAATTGTAGGTGAATTACCCTTTCTGGAAAATTATTTCATTTCAGCATATTCCGTGAGGAATTCTGCAATTATTCAAATTATGAAATAATATGATTTAAATTTTAACCATGAACTTTACAATAAGAATATTGTAAAATTTATGATTTATATTTCTTCGGAAAAATGATAATTTTGTAAAATAATATTTTTGAAAATTTAGAAAAAATATTTACAAAATTTATGTATCAAATCTTGAGTTGAGGTTCTGTTATGAAATGATGAAAACATATTATGTGAATTGGTCGGTTGAGGGGATTTTATCCAACTGGGGGGTCCCCTTCGGTAGGTTTTACACCCCCCCCCTCCCAACCCCCCGCCCCCTCCCCCCCCATTTTTTCCATCCCATGCCCCAAACCTCTGGGACTTGCAAGCCGGTGCCGGTGGCCCCAGGTGCCGAAGGCCTGGGCCATCGTGAACCGGAACGCCTCCAGCACCCCCAGCGGCAAACCCAACCCCCGGGGCTACCGCATCGACCTGATGTCTTTCTCTACCTCACAGGCGCGGGAAGTGTCGGACACTCCAAGGAGGTCAGCTGACGTTTTTTTTTTTTGTTTGGGGGGGGGGAAGTTTGGAGCTGGCAGGTCTTAGGGATGCACAGAAGTTGTCCAAGGTCAGTTGAAGGTTTGGGGGGGGGGGGGGGCTTGGGAGCTGGCAGGTCTTAGGAGCCGTAGGTCCAGCTTGTGCTCGCAGCCGTTTTGGCAAGCAAATCGACCTGCCTTGGTCCTTGAAACATTCGGGCTTAGCGACTTCTGACCCAAAGATGCAGCAAGCACCGCCGGTTCCTCTGCAGCTCGTCCGGCCAACGAAGAAGCTGGACGAGTTCGCCTGCTGGGAGTGGGCAGCTCAGACACCTGCAGAGCTTCGGTTGGACTCCGGCGAGTGCTGGCGCGGCTACAACCTCGGGGCCAAGCGGTCCATTGCGGGCGAGGTGGTCTTTGCAACGCCCATGATGGGCTACCCCGAATCCCTCATGGACCCTTCCTTTGCGGGTCAGATCCTGGTTTTGACGTATCCCCTGGTTGGCGAAGCTGGACCAGCTGGGCATCCGCATCCTGGGCACGGCGGCGGCCAACATCGACCGTGCAGAGCCCACTAGAGAAGAGACATCTTCGTTAAGCCAAAGCGTGGCTTCCGAGCACAAAGCGCAAGAGGAGGCTGCGTTGTGGGGAAAGCATGATGATCGCTTGCAATGGCGAATTTCCTGGACAAGCATCCAACATTTTCAGCATGAGCTCCATAAAGTTGCAGATGTGGGAACCCTGGCACGTTCATTGCTTGGGGAAAAGTCTGGAAAGAGGCGTGGATTGACGCTGGGATGCGGGCCCATGGCGGGCGAGTACCCAATGCTGAAATCATTCGGGGTGGACAGTATCGAGGCATACGACACTGCAGAGGGGATGTATCAAAAGTTTTTGGAGTTTCAGCCAAACCCAGAGATTCCTGTAACCTACCATGTCATGGATGTGAATGAGATCCATTTGGAGGAAGGGGCGTTTGATGTGATTTACATTCAACACGCATATCATCACTTCGAGCGCATCGAACACGTTGCTGAAGAGATCTCCAAGGCCTTGAAGCCCTCAGGTGTGTTCGTCATCACCGATTGGATTGGGCCAAATTTCCTGCAGCGGACGCCAGCGCAGCTTGCAGTGATGAACAACCTTTGGCATCATATGCCAGCCAAGTGGCAGGACCGGTCCATGGTGGAGAGGGAGTTCCCCGTGGTCATCTCCAAGTACGTGCAGGGCGCCCGAAAGATCGAGTTCGACGGCGTCGGCCGCAATGGCCAGGCGGCCATGGGTCAAAATCCGAACCGTACCCCCAGTGAACATTTCAATCCAACTACTAGTTACTAGAATAGGTTCTAAAATGGGTGGTGAATTCACCTACCCCAAAATGGTACCATTGGTTTTGACCCACGGCCAGGTGATCAACTACGCCATCTCCGAGCATGTGGAGGACGCGGGGACCCACAGCGGCGACGCCACCCTCTTGCTGCCGGCCCAGCGCCTGCATTTGGAAACCCACCGGCGAGTGATGCACATCGCCAGCTCTGCAAGGTTCTGAACATCTCCGGGCCCTTCAACGTGCAGTTCATGGCGCTGGAAGACTCTTGCTTCTCCCTGAGGTCCGTGAAAGTCATCAAGTGCAACGTGCGGGCTTCTCGCACCGTGCCCTTTGTCTCCAAGACCTTCAACGTGAACTTCATCGAGCAGGCCACGCGCGTGATGCTGGAGCAGGAGCTACGCCTACGACTTTGAGTTCGTGGCCTGCAAGGCACCCATGTTCTCCTTCCTGCGGCTGAGCGGCGCGGACCCGCACCTGGGCGTGGAGATGCAGAGCACGGGCGAGGTGGCCTGCTTCGGGCACAACGCCCACGAGGCCTTCCTGAAGTCTTTGATCGCCAGCGGCGTGCAGATCTCCAAGATCTTCGAGCCCTGCGGCGTGCTGCTGGCGCTGAACCCCAAGGACAAGGCCGCCGTGGCGAAGTACCTGCCGCTCTTGGACGAGATGGGCTTCAAGATCTTCGCCACCCATGGCACTGCCTCCTTCTTGGAGGCCAGCAAGACCCAGCGCAACGCCAACAACAGCGCCATTTGCGTCACGCCTCTGGCCAAAAGCGCCGAGGGCGCCGTGTCCGCCATCACGGAGAAGACCGTGCAGTTGGTGATTTGCACGCCTTCCTCGCGGGATTCGGCCGGCCAGACGCCTGGCTATAAGATCCGCCGGAAAGCCCTGGAGACGGGCGTGCCTGATCGTGAACATGCAGCAGGCCCTGATGCTCATCGATGTCCTCTACGAGAAGTTCACCCTTGAGCGGCAGGGCAGGGACTTTTGGACCTTGGATTCCTGGAAGGAGTGCCATCGAATCGGCCAAGAGCTGGTTTGTGAATTCGGCGGGTTTGACGGGTGATACGCATCTATCAAAATCCATCCCCAACCTGTACACTGTACACAATTCCCAATGCTGGGAGAACTCCGAAAGAACGGTTGGTGTGCTCAGGCACGCAAGCGGGTTGACAACGCCTCACCTCAGTGTGGAATCTTGTGAGTCGGCTGGAGGCCGCGACTCTCTTACTCTTGGCAGCGTTCAGCTGCAGGCAACCTCGATTGCCAGACCCGAGGCAGCAAAAAGAGCAGCGAGAGCACGGGCGATGTCCTTTGATCTGACGAATTTGCCACCCCCATCGCTTCAATGAGAACCATGAACTCTACCCCCTCCAAAGACCCTCTTTTTTCAGGGTATCATGTCGATCTAAGCGCTATCGTTGAAACCCCCTGGTTTGCTCTTTGAAGCCCAGGTAACCGAACTCCGGCGCGCTGGGCTTTTTTTTGCCCACGGAGCACCCGTGGTTCGTGGACGGATCGGCGCGCTTCGCTTCCGCGTATTCGGAGGTGCACTCGCCGTCCCACCCCTTCGTGCGGGCCATGCCCTGGACGAAGTACCACCTCGCGGTGACGAAGTATCAGGCTCAGCGGGTTTTATTGCGAGAGGATCTTGGATCGAATTTTGTGGGGGGAAGCACCCAAAAAGCCCTCCTGCGTGATTCCGGGTCAGCCCATTTTGAGGCTTGTTTGCAAAAAGGCCGATCGGTAGCTCCTTAGCTCCCTCTTTAAAAGCAACTTTGGATACCCCTAGCTCCTTGGCCCCCCTTCCAACCATCGGCTTGTCATTTGCGTTGCGGTCGGCGAACAGCCTCCAAAAGAAGGAGGGAAGGCCCTCACAACATCTGGCTGCATCTCGATCCCTAGGGTTTTCCCCCTTGGGGGGGCCATGAGAATGTCACAATATGGCGGGGCCTCATTTCTCACTTCCGGAGTTCATGAACTTTAAACTTTTTGGGAAGACCATTTTGGTGGTTATAAAGTTTGGACTTTTTTGGGCCATCTACTCAGCCAGTGAGTCATGGACACCCTGGTTTCCACAAGCCGATCATGTTGCTTTTGCTTCGCCCCGTTGTGGCCGACTTTGACGATCTGAGGTGCCCAAGTCAGACGTTGATGTGTCCTTTCGTTTGCAGTCTGCCAAGCCTGACAGCGGAGCAGGATGGTTGGATGAAGACATCCAAGACTTCCCATATGCAAAAACAGAGCATGCCACAGCAAATCAACCACTGTGACTTCAGCTGCATCGCAAGGGATTGGCTGGCAGATGCAAGCCTCGCGATCCTGTCATGATGATGCCCAATGATGTCCAATGATACCTAATACATCAGATGACAACCGATGACAACCGATGACAACCGATGATATCCGATGATCTTTACAATGATGATGCTCGATGATACCCGATGATACCAATGATACCAATGATACCCGATGATATCCAATGGCGTCCAATGATCTTCAATGAAACCCAGATGGGCAATGATATCCAATGATATCCAATGATATCCAATGATGTCCAAAGATGACATCCCATGATATCCTATGATGTCCCACAGTATCCAATGATACCCAATGACATCCACTGATATCCCACAGTATCCAACGATTTCTCAAAGATACCAGTTGACATCCAATAATCACGAAAGCTAGCTTTAGCTAGCTGAAGTTTCTCCTTGCGTAAGCAAGGTAAGGGGCTCAAATGCCGAAAGATTGATTTTTTCAATTATTTGAGCCGAAAAGATTGAAAAACATCAATCATTTAGACCCCCCCCCCCTCCCCCCCCCCCCGGTCTCAGGCTCGATTCCTCCCTGGTCCATCCCCCAGGCAGTGGCTCAGTGTTCAGCAGTCTCGGTTTGCCCGTTTTGGACTTGGTGCTACGAACTTTTACATGTTCCACCGATTCAGCTTGTTCATTTGAGACCTCAGTCTTCTCGGTAAACCACCTCGCAAGAATCTTTGCACACGCAGCATGCAGAACCCAGAGGTGCTTTGAGACAGCTTCTGACGCCTCTCGTTGTTCATTTTTCAAGGTTTGCCACGCCACCATGTGCGTTCGCGTGTCGCATCCTACGAATCTTGCCGGGCCTCTCGTTGTACACAAGCTACCTCTGAATCCACTCTGTCACCGACCCATCTCATGCAACAACTGCTAGCTTTCGTTCACCCGCTCCTCAAGTATCCAATGATCTTGAATATAATCGAATGATACCCACGATGTGGCATCGTATCCAGCGACGTGTAACCGGCTTTCTATTTGTATGAACCATATGCACATCTGCTGGCTTGAGTTGAGTAGCTGATGGCTCGCACAGGACAACGAATACCGTCCTTCCTCGCCCTATGTGCTGCTTGGCAGAAGTGAGCAGAGCATAGACTCCGTGCTTGCAGTCTCCTTCAAGCATTTGCATAACCGTTCATTTCCCAAGGAACTTTGACGGCCTTCAGCCATTGACCGGCGAGTATGTCCAGGATTTGGACATCTTCCTCTCGAACAATGCGGCCAAGTTGCAACGGAGCGCGAATTTGCCGTGGGCGAATTTTCGGGATTCCTTCAAAAGGTTGGCTATTTTGGTTTCGTGTTAGCCCCGAAAAAGAAAAAAACGCACAAATTTGCCGTGTGCGAATTCAGGATCCCTTCAACAGGTTTTTTTTTTGGGGGGGTTTCGTGCAAACGCCCCCCCGAAAAGGTCCATGTCTGGCATGCCCAGAGTCCAAAAAACACGCAGCTTCAGGAATCGATCCTCGATGAAGATCTGGTAGCCTGGATCGGCTTGAACAAGGATTCTGCGCGCGCAGCTTTTCCATGTGCGAGGTTAGAGGCGCCAGGTCCAGCGATCGGTGCCAATTTTCTCACCCACTTTTTTGGTTGGGAAGGTTCCCCTACTAAAAATGGACAAGAGAAAAAAGTTGGTCCCCTAATTTTAAGCTCTCTACTGGAGCTAGGACTCGATGTCCCATAGCTGGGCGGTGCTGAAAGGCAAGGTGTCGAGAGCACCGGCCATTCTCAGGGTCCATTGATAGAAACCGGTTCTGAATGTGGGACACGGCCAGTAGTGGCTATATACTTGTAGATGGGGCATCTTTTTGCCCAAGTCCTATGATCCCTTCAGTTTTTTTTTTTTTTGGCCAGGAGCACATCGTGCGGCAGGAGGACATCCCACTGGTCTCCAACTTCGGGGTGTCCTTCTCGCTGCAGCCCTTCAACTTCTTTGACCTGAACACGGCCTCCAACCCCCCCAAGCCTGAGCTCTGAGGCCGCGCCCGGTCGCGAGACGAGCGAAGGAGCCGCGAGATCCGTGGGCCTTTGGCGCTAGCGCTAGTTGGGCAGCCGGCGTTGAGCCCCGGAAGCGGTGGAGCCGTGGAAAAAGAGCGGGCGGAAGTTGGAGCTTTGGGAGGGGATGCTTTGGGGTGACGTTGTTGAACTGTGGAACAAGTGCCCTTTGACACAAAAGTAATGAGTTGCACAAATTTTGGACTTAGGTTGATGGATGACGGTTTGATGGATTTGGTGATGGTAAAGAGGTGGGTTCTTTTGATGGATATGGATCCACCCAACTCTGTACCCCCCATAAAGAGTCTGGGCTTTGCAGTGTTTCCTATGAGAGACTCCTTGGAAGGTCACGGATGGTTTCACGGATTTTGAACCGACACCGACCAGTTTACGGGAACCTCAATCACATGTTGTGATTCTTTGTTTGTCTGGGAGCCCTGATGGTTTTGAGGGGTTTCCACCGGGGGTTTGCTGGAACCGGCATAAAGGAACCTTCCCTTTTAGGAATAGGAGAAGGCTGGGGTTGAAACCGCAAACACAATGGGGGTTATTATCACCATCATTTGCCGAAGGAGTTTCATCATCTAGATTGGCATTGGGTCCTTGCCATTCTTTTCATGGGGGGTTGAACCCTAGGGTTTTCAAGCAAACATCAAGGAGACTCATACTGTGGATGGACGAAATCCTGCACCAACGTTCACAAACCCTGGAATGCTTCGATTCCCCCACATAAATGCCGACAAATGGCTTCAACCTATTTTTTCCCTTTTGTGATGCGATTGGCGTTGATTTCGATTTCGACCATCCGCAGAATCGGAGCCACCCAGCACGACCACCCCCAGCCCAGATCGATCCAGGCAAAGCCATCGGAAGCCTCGGGCGAAGCTTCGGCAGTCTGGTGGACAAGGGCGAGGGGCTGCAGTACTCCAGGCGAAGCGAGAACACGACATTCTTGCAGTGCGTGGTGCCGGCTTCAGCAGAAGGGGTTGCATGGTGTGTGTGTGTGTTATATATATATATATAATTGTTTGTTGATTTTAAATAAATAGAACCTTGCATTTATATTTTTAAAATAGCAACCCAGCACAAAGGGGTCGCTGAGAAATCTCAAAGAGAACCTTTTGCGGGCTTCCGACTCTAAACCAGTACTTCGCTCTTTCTCGGCTTCAAAGGAGGAAACAACTCATGGCTGCCCTTCGGCTCTTTCAAACTAGGGCTGCCATTCTAATGCTGTGTCCCTGGCATTTTTTTTCCGTCTCAGAATCGCCGGTTTGACAATGGTCGGGCGTGTCCTATTGGACATGGACCCCCCCACTGTTGCTCGGTGTTCAACAGGGCTCCTTAAAAGGAATCTTCATTTTGCCACCATTTGAGCCATGTGGATTTTTCCACACCAAGATGAATGGGAAACCCACCATTCACAAGTTGCGATGCTCAGGTGTATGCATCCGGATCCCTGTTCCAGGAGGCCTCCCGGCCTTGATCCCCTCGGCTTTGGAAGGTTCCCTGATGGTGGCGAGTTTCGCTGCGCCACCCTTCAGAGACCCATGAGAAAATTCCGCGGTAATTTTTTTTCGGCCACAGCGCCCTGGACGACTTCAGAACTCGACCCAGATGCGCAGCCAGTTTCCAGGTGCCCCGATCGCCATTTGCCATGTGGATTCTTAATGGGTGGCAAGAAATTGATTGCCTGGTGTCCCTTTTCAATGGAGCCTTCTCCCCACAAATGGATTTCGGTTTTCCTTTCCGTGTCCCTTTGAAAAGACCAAAATTGGGTACCCTCCAAAAAACCAACAGACATCCATCTTGCCTCTGGAAACCCACCGGAATCCCTCGGAGCCTATGGGGTTTTTGGCAACCATCCCACGGTATGGGGGCCTGGGTCAAGAAAAAATAGCCGCCAGGGCACCGCAGGTTTCAGTCCCCCCGAGCCTCGAGCTTCGAGTGGCAGGCACCTGGTGGACCGCCGGGAGGTGCGGGTCATCGCGGGCCACGGGGGCAGCGGCGGCCTGGCGTACAAGAAGCACACCAAGCACAAGATGCGGCCCGGCCGAGAACGATCATGTCTCAAAATGGGGGTGGCAGATACCCGTGTTTTGGGGTTGGTCTCAAAATGGGGGTGGTTAACTACATCTTTTTGTAGGTCGGATTTTGGTGTATGCCTCAAAATGGGGGGTAGTTGTGTCTCATCGTTTTGTAGGTAGGATTTTTGGGGTTGGTCGGAGAAACCAAAGTGGGGGGTCGATCTCGTCTGCGCCGCTGCAAGCGTTTGTGTGTAACTGTCAGAATGGGGGGGGTCTCATCTTTTGGCGGGTAGAATGTTTCAGTGGTTTTAAAGGAAACAAAGGGGGGGGGGATGGAAACGGGTTTTTTTAAAGGCAAACTAAAGGGAAAGCCGACATTCATTTTTGGGGGCCCCTATTTTAAGACACACCCAAATGGTTCGACCCCTTTTGCTTGGTATTTCAAGGTAAATCAAAAGAGAGACCAACCATTTTATGGCAGCAATGCCCTCATATCTCTCTCGCCAGTCGAGCCAGTTGACCGCCCTCAGTGCCCTTTCAGGGTTTGGCAAAGGGTCCTTTCCCTCTCATGCAGCGAGGGATTCAAGCGAGGGTCTCCTTATTATTTTGGTACCAGCAGAAGGATTCCCTGTTATGGCGGAAGCCCTAGAGACAGCAGCGGGCGTCCACGGGTCAGCACTTCAATCTGGTTTGTCCTTTTCAGCCGTAGGTAGGATGTTTCAAATTTGGGTGCTGCCTCGATTCTTCTGCTCTAAAAGGGTAAGTCACAACACGAGATAAGCAGAACATGTAAAGCCCCGATTTACTTTCCGTTGTTTCCCTAGAAACGAGGATTTGTTCATTCTATTGCTGTTGTGATGTGTGAAAAAAGACCAGCACACAGCAAACCACGACCTCCCAGCTGGTAGGATGAAGCCAATCCAACGGTTGCACCAGTGAAAATCCCGTTGGGGAGCTATCCTCTTTGCAACAGGTTGTGAAAGCCTGCCAGTATCTTCAACAGACAACCCCGGCCCTTTTCCATGATCTTGTCCACTTTCTGTCGGGTCAACTCTCTAAATTCATGGGTTCACGACATGAATTGGGAGTTTCTTCAAAATAGGAGACATTTTCCTTCTAGTTTTCCTTTGAAACCAGCTAAAAGAGGTCCACCATTTTGAGAAATTCTTAATTTGACGTCAGTGGGTCCATTCCGTTGGGTGACGCGGCACTTGCGAGGATCGGCCCGGGTTGGCCCTGCGGCGGCAGCGGCGGTGGCTTGGATGAAGGGCTGCAATCCAAGTGGCCGCAGGATGTTTTTTTTTTGGACCCCCCCCAGGGCCGTTTTTAAAAGACAATCAAAAGGAAAAATGTCTTTTTTGGAACCCCCCATTGGTGGTTTTAAGAGAGAATCAAAAGGAAAAACCATCCCGGTGGATTGAACCATGGAAAACTGGGAGATGGGAGGGGTGTTAATTGTGGAGAAGGGGCTGGGATGTATCCGTCATTTAGACTGCACGGTATGAAAGAGGGCGGAGTAGGCCTAACACCTTGAAGCCCATGTCTCCATTTGGGTCTTGGAGACTGGGGGTATCCGACTCAAGTGGCAAAAAGTGGGTACCAACAGATGGAGTTTGAGAGGCTTGTTCCCGTACCATGTTTTTTTCCATCAAGAGAGCCTCTGGCGATGTCCATCCCAAGAAAGCAATCTTGGACCCAGTTTGCTTCAAAGATCCGGACGGGGAAGCCCCTCCGTTTTTTTTTTTTTTTTTTTTTTTTTTTTTTCCGGCCACGTGGCGTTACATCCAGATGTTGGTCTCTCGCTCCATGAGGTCGAGGAGGAGACGTGGTGGTGAAGGCCTGGCACTCGAGTTGTACGCCGAGGATATGATTCTTATGATTATGATTACGACTATTACGATTATTATTATCATCATTATTATTGTTATTATTATCAATATTATTATGATCATACTTATAATGGCAATAGATATTTATTAGATATACATGTATATATATATATATATATATGTATAATGTGGATGTTGCTTTCTTCTTCTTTTGCGAGCGGGCATGTTGCTTTGTTAGGAAAGGCAAGTGGACCGCTGGGACAACTGGATGGACACCTACGAGTTTCTCAGAATGGAGCCCTTCTGGCTAGTTTTTTCAAGGAGACCCAAAGGAAGCCGACCATGTTAGGGGACCCCTATTCTGAGACACCTAGTAACAATAATGGTTTTTGTTCCAGGCGTGTCCAAGATTGGGTGAAAAGACCCCTTGACTTGGGGGGCTCCAGACTGGAACTTTGGGTTACTCCCAAATGACCATTTCCCCTGTAGGTGTTATACCCTTTCGTCAAGTTTTCCGAGTCACCACAGGCTGGAAGATGGGCTCTGACAGTCACTTCCAGTGATTCATAGGAAGTGGCTTTATGGAATCTCCTCCGGGTGGATACAAGGGGGGTAGTTGAGAGGTTTAGGGTTCCTCCGGGTTCCTTTGTTTGGGAAGCCATTTGTGAATGGCACACCCTATGTTTGATGCATTCCCATTTTGTTCGGCTGTGTTTTGACCGACATGGAGAAGGACATGGGTGATTCTTCTAGTCGTTTAAGACAAATTGCCCAACGGATTCCTTACAGGATACGACTTGGCCATTTTGGACGCCGCCTTTGTCCGGGCTTTTCAGAAAGTCATCCAACGGGTGTGTGCTTTGTCGAGGTACCTGTCATTTGGGTTGGTTTAAAGGGAACCTGCAAGGACAGCCAGCAGTTGGGGAGTCCGAATGCTTGTTTTGACTCAACCCAAGCTGTCTGGACCACTATCAAGGGAAGTCCGCCAACAACCCCCCGCATGTGTGCAATCGACGCTTGGAGATTTGCAAAGCACCCTTTGTGTGGGCTGGTTTGGGATGACCTGGGATGACAGAAGCAAATGCCAAATAGATCCCCTCCTAAGACAAACCTGTAGGCTGACAGCGGGTTCCTGCTACAGGACAATTGTATTCAAGGTCGCCTTCAGGTTCCATGCTTGTTGTTGGGAGGGTATTCGAGGCGACTCCCAGTGGGTCAGGCAAACCCTGAGTTGGTGGGTTGGATTGGTTTGGATTTGAAGCCCTGGCCTTTGTAGGGGGTAAGGGGGGGACCACCCCTTCACAGCTCCAAACCAGGCTCCACCTTTTGTGCCGGGTAGAAGCAAATGCCAAATAGATCCCCTCCTAAACCTGGAAGCTGACGATTGGTGGTTTGGACCTGGATTTGAACCTCCATCCTTTGTAGAGGGTAAGTGAGGGGACCACCCCTTCACAGCTCCAAACCGGCCACCTCCATCCTTTGTAGGGGGTGAGAAGACCACCCCCTGACAGCTCCAAACCAGCTACAAGCCAAGTGCCTGGCCAGGCAACTCCGGACCTTTGGAGCCTGGCGCACGTGAACGGACACGTGCAAGCGCCCAACGGGATGACCGGGCGGAGGGGGAACCTCAACGGGGAGAGCGGCCCGGGCCCCGGGATCTTTGTGGGTCTGTCTTGCTTCTTTTCTGTGCTTAAAGAAAAAACAAACCAATAAAACAACAATCCAAGCTTCTTCTTCCGTTTTTTTTTTTTTTTTTGGGGGGGGGGGGGGGCTCTCTTTTTGAGGTATAAATGCGTATTTTTGTGGTGGGTTTAAAGGCAAACCAAAAATAAAGAGCTTCTTTTTTGGGGGGTGGGGGGTGGGGATCCCCTAAACACAGACGCACCCTTTTCTTGTTCTTGCCTGCTGCTTGACCATTTTTTAGTTTCTTTTTTTGGGGGGGAAAGGCAGTGCGAGGGGTGCGTTTGCTCAATTAGTCTGGGCACAAGGAGGTTTTGGGTGCAACTTGAGGACTTAGGCATGGTGCAGCTGCCAAGGAGAAGAGGAGTGTTTGTAGCTTTGGAGTTTTCTGCACATCGGATCATGCGCCCCTCACACTTACACAATTCCTTGGCAGAGCAGGGCCGAAGGCAGCTCATCAGTTGAAGCAGTTGCATCCGAGTTCCAAACAAAAAAACCCTTGCACCGCTGAGCTGTGCTTTGTTTCCCCTTCCAGCACCGCACTTTTGCTTCCATTTGCTTAAGAATGTGTTTAATTTTCCCCTGTTGGTTTTTAAAGGGAATCTATCACTGCTGGACATTAAAAAAAAGGAAGCTCACGCAAATGGAAGTTTGCCATGCCATCATATTCCGAGTTCTCGCGTTGGCATCTCTCACCCCTCAAAAACCGTCTGAGCCTCAGCCACAGGCCGGCAGTGCGTGATCTCGGTGCCGCGGGGGGTCTTCGTGCGTGAGCTCCTCGTGGACCCCGAGGATTCCCGGCAGAAGCGCCGCGGGGCGCTGCTGGCGGACTTGGATCAGCCCGGGCAGTCGGTGACGGTTGCCCTGGGGGGCAAGGGCGGCATGGGACGCTCGGCAAAAAAAAACGGGCCTGCTTTTTCTTGGCGGCTCCCAGCCATCCGGTTCCTTGGCTTTTTAGCCTTTTGGTGTTTAGTGGGGATGTCCATTCAATCCACCAAAAGTTAAACTTTTAGAGGGGGATCTGAGGGCAGCCCAGTTTTGGTGTCACTGAAAAGGAGTATATAAACCTTATTGCGATGCCAGGTCGTGTTGGTCACCGTCAGAAACAGCACCTTTCGGAGGCAAATGACTGATCAGGGTTGAAAAGCGGTTCAACTCGAAGCACTGGACTTCAGTGTGGTGGGTATGTGTCAAAATTTCTGCTACCAAACTGGCCATTTGGAAGGGGTCTGCTTTTTTTTTTTTGCAATATCCCCTGGTTGCTTTGCGCTTCGATTTCGCACTCCGATATTCGTGGGGAATTGTCTGTGGAAGAAGCATCTCAAACAACAATCTTTCTGAGCGTGGACGCCGGCCACCCCCCCCTCCCCTTTTTTCTTGCCTTTTCTAGGGTAAAATCTGCAACACACGTTTACTGAAAATTCTGCACCCCTGAAAGCGGGGTCCCTCTTTTTTTAGATGACGAGATGTTTGTGGCAGGCCACCCTTGGTGCTACATGAACCCTAAGCATCAACCATGCGCATTGTGTTTTTTTCTTCCTTCTTTTCTTGTAAGTCAAAGAGGGTATAGGGAACAATGCCATGCCTTGTGTGTCCAAAAGTAAAGCCTGTCTCCCAAGGATTTTCACCCTCAAATAGCGAAGTCAATCTTTAAGAAATGAAGACTATGGAGTTTCCTAACCAAATAATCCAGAAAATCCATAACTTTTACCACTCCACTCCACTCAAGTTCGCACGGGGCCTCTGTGGGCGCAGCTGATTTATTGGGGGGGGAGATCAGGCTCAAATAAACAGAGAACAAATACTCACAAATACTCAAGTAGAGAACAAATACTCACCCATACTCACTAATTTGTTACCCTCAAATAGGGAACAACCACTCTCCCACGGCCGAGGTAACAACATGGCGCGGGTTCACGAGGCCTTCCTGGGCTTGCCGGGCCAGGAGCGAGATCCAACTGGGGCGGTTTTAGTGGGCGGGTTTCTTGGGTGTCAAAAACCACCCCAAAAGTGGCAAGTGGTCAAGAACATGTGTGTTCGAGGAACAAGTTGTAGGTCACCAACCTTGATTTCCCTGCTGCACCTTTAGATGTAAAGAAAAGACACAGCCCAACTGAACTCTTACAGCCCTCGCAGCGTGCTCTTGAAACCTGGGCAAGGGTGAGCAGAGGCTGTGGCACAAAGGCAGCGCACATCGTGGACCTTGCCGGGGAGGTTGCAGGTTCAGAGCAGTTGGACAACCGCTGGTTTGATTTTGCCAGTTCACGTAAGGATCCTGTCTTTATGTTGGGAGCCCGACAAAGTGTCCATTTAGCGCAGCGAAGGGAACGGCACCAAAGTATCAGCACCAAAGTATCAGGAATCGGAGTCGTTAGGGAGACTATCACGAATATAGGTCTGCGCTCATGTGTACCAGTCAAGGGAGCCAAATGGCCCAGTTTCGACCATGGCTTACATCCCAGAGACAAGCACAATCCATGCCAGGGAAGCTCTGCGAACGGATTCCCCTTCCAGTCATTTTCAACTAAACATACTCTGGCACCCAGGTCTTTCTCCCAAAATTTGGATTTTTTCAGTGGGACCCCAACACTCCCCCCCCCCCCGGCGCCATGATGAAGCCTTGGCTGGCCTGACTGCCGGCGCAGGACCGGCGTATCGAGCTTGAGCTGAAGACCGTGGCGGACGTCGGCCTAATCGGCCTGGGCCCCGAGCACCGGGCGAGCTGGAGCAGCGGGTGGGGTAATAAGGGGGGGGGGGGAAATGGGGTGGCGTGGCTCAGTTGTTTGGGTCTTTTTCCACTTCAGGGCCATTTTTGGAAGAGCCGCATTTTTTGGGAGCCACCACTGAATAGAAGCCAGTGAAACGATTGGGGTTGATGGAACCGTCATTGTTGTTTTCTGCGTCATATGAATTGGGTCAACCTATTGTGTTAATGGGAGTTGAAGCTAAGGGCCCAAGTTTTGGCCATGCTGTTCAACTGTTTGGGAGGTTGGTTGACCCTATGTTCACTATTTTGGAGTGATTTTCAATCCTAGCCCGGAGGACCAATCGTGTCACGCAGGACAGACATCTGCAGATTGACATTGGTTCCTGATTTTTGGTGAAGCCAATTGTTCCCCACTTTTCTTGCTGGTGCTCAGTAGGCACTGTGGGAATGAACCCAGGGATTCCCTCAAAGGAAACCACCAGCTGGATGGTTCATCTTGGGGTCGTTCCAGAGCTCTCATTCCCTGCATCTCTCGCACCGACCACTTTTTGGTCAGACTCCAGGTCTCGTTTTTTGCATCTCTCGCACAGCTTTTTCCCATGCGAGGCATGCCCAACGCGGGCAAGAGCACGCTGCTGGGGGCGGTGAGCCGGGCGTGCCCGAAGATCGCGCCCTACCCCTTCACCACGGTGGCGCCCTACGTGGGGAAGGCCGGCGAATTCGGCCGGCGAATGCGGCAATTGCGGCCTTCGTTGCGAGTGCTGGGGATCAAATCACATGGGCGTGGCGCTTTTTGGGAGGGTATGCTTGTTTGCGCTTGTAAAGGAAAAACACTTTTTCTTTTTTCCTTCTTTTTTTTTTTTTTTTTGGGGGGGGGGGCAAAAAAAGGACCCCCAATATGGGACCCATTTTCGGGGTTCACCTTTGGAATTTCCCGCAGGAGCCCCAGTTAAGCCCTTGCCGTCCCATCTGCCCTCCCAGCTGGGAAGCCAGGCCTCATTTGGAGGGTTTCCGCAGATCCAGGGTTAGCTGAGGAAGCTGCGTGGGGAGAAGACTCGTCTTTCCAGCAACAAGCTAAAGGTCAAAGATCCTGATATTATTCAACATTTGGCAATTTGAAACATGTCCTTTACCACCAGACCAAAGAAGAAACACAAACTAAGTACAATTCTGGGGTACTGGATAGCCAAGAATGAGCCATCTTGAACCCAACTTCCTTGCGGCCATCATAATCCTCTGGTTGCACAGTTCCCAAGTAGTTTTGATATGGCCATGAGTTTCAATAGGGAACCCATTGAAACGTGGTTGGTGGACATGAATCAAAACCTAAACAATGTCCACCAAAGGGCCCCAACTATCGTTCATACCAGCCCATATCTGTTGGACACCGCCATTCTGGGAAAATTAAATCCATTCTAACAAACCACCTCTTGGAAACCTGCGAACCTCTGGTGGCACTACTGTGGGGCTCATGTAACATGAAACATTTTTTTGCGGCCAGGCGAAATCTGAGTTACGTGAATTCTGTTCAGACCCAGATTTTGGGGGCCACTTGGACTCCTTCGAACATATGAAAAGCACCACACGTTGGGGGCTAGGCCACAGATGCCATGTCAGGAGCCCCATGAGGCCACCGGTGCCCCGGTGCCCCCTGGCCCCTGGCCCCTGGGTATCGCGTGTCAGAGGCCACCATGGTGCCCCCTGGCGTCAGGTGGACTTCGCGGACGGCAGCAGCTTGACCATGGCCGACGTCCCCGGGTTGGTGGAGGGCGCCCACCAGGGCCATGGCCTGGGCCACGAGTTCCTAAGGCACCTGGAGCGCACCAAGGCCAGCGATTCGGAGGGCGGGGGTAGGTTCTCGCCTTCAGAGGTTCAGACACAAATGTGGGAAGATACAAATATGGATAACACATGTATATCATTCTAAAACATACTCACTTCCTGAGTTCATGCACTTTAAACTTTTTGGGACGACCATTTTAGTGGTAAATGTAAAGTTTGAACTGTTTTTGGGCCATCCACTCAGCAAGTTTGTATATATGCATGTTTATAGGTGCATGTTCCCCTTTGCGGATTCATGCACATGAAACATGGTCCCGCAGAGTTTTTTTTTTTTTTTTGCAATGTGATTCGCTCTGCAATGTGTGAAGATACCAACATGGATACGGACATATGTTGGGTCACATGATTGGTTGGAACACCCTGAGCGAGCACAAATCCCCATGTACAATCCAATCTCCTATGCGAACCGATGGCACCATTGGTGCTTAGCTTTCCACAAATATGCCTTTGAGAGTATCGCGACCAAGGTCCGTTGATATTGGTTCATTGCTACAGAAAACAGCCAGCCAGAAAGGCTTGTGCATTTTGCCCCGTGGTGACTGGGCACCGCGCTGGGTGCTAAACAATCTTAAATTCTCCAGCTCCTCATTTGCACAGGAAGCCGCAAGTGGATGGATATCCGCCTACTATGACGGAAGCTGACGGATTTCTTTCAGATACTCGTTCCTCGGGTTCCTTTTTCGTGCGTAGGAGGGCTTCTGAACCTCTTTTAGATCTTCAGCATCAAATTTCTCCAAAAACACATCTTCTCCAGGTGCCGGGCTTTCACAGAATTCCCTATGTCTTGTCACTTCTCGGCACAAGGTCTCCCCTCTCACGGAGTAGCGACTTTTTTTCTCCTGTTGTCCCGGCCCAGTGACGGTGGGGCGTGCCATGGCTTTGCGGAGCCTGCGCCGCCTGGCCCTGGCCCAGGCGCGCTGGAGAGAGCAGGGTGGGTGTCCTTCCATCCGGCACGCCGCTGTTTTTCGATGAGGTCTGGGTTTGTCCTTCTTGGGGCTATCTGAGAAGATTCAAGACGAAGGGTCCTTGTTTTTGGACAATTGCAAGGTAAATCCTTTGCGCTATTGGAGTCCGATGTTTGTCGCCTCTCGCGGAAAACAGCACACGAGGCGAGGGTGGCTTGACTGAGACAAGCAATGGACACAGCATTGTTTGGTTCCAATGCCGGGCTTCAACAATCATTGAGCACCGAGATCTCTGCAAGTATTGTTCTTCAAGAAATCGATGCCCCGCCCAGCACATGCACCAGGGCAATGATGCGAAGTCATGCGCACGCCATCGCAGTCTCTGCCAGGCCCCGCTGCTGCCATGTGCAGCGCAGGATCGGCGCCCTTTTGCAGGGCTGGTGCTGGGAGGAGTCCGGGGCCAGCGTGGAGGACGGCGTGGAATGCGGATTGCCGAGTGCTTGTCTCCCAATTTGTTTCCCAATTTGTCTCCCAATGCTTTAACAGGACGCCGTTTCTGGTTCTGTTTGCAGTTGGCTGGCCTGCATGCTGGTTGCTGTTCCCTACCGTGTCGTGTTTTGTGAGGAGAGTGCGACCACGGCACGCGCAGCACGCACGACAGCTTCTTTGCCAAGACTCGCCTGGCGTTTCGCAAGCCGAACATTGGCACACCGGCAGGGCAGTCTGGCTTCTGTGTGTGCGGACGCGTGCTCCACCCGTGTTTTGGATTTCAGCATGATGCACGACCATCTTGCTGTGCCAACTGCAAAGAGGATGGCATGGTGAACATCAAGAGCCCCAAATGTAGGTGTGGCAGAGCCAGACCGCATTTCGGGATGCCAGGCGATGCTCGGGCAACTTGCTGTGCGAACTGCAAAGAGGATGGCATGGTGAACATCAGGAGCCCCAAATGCAGGTGCGGCAGAGCCCAACCTTTTTTTGGGATGCCAGGCGACGCTCGGGCAACTTGCTGTGCCAACTGCAAAGAGGATGGAATGGTGGACATCAAGAACCGCAAATGTAGGTGTGGCAGAGCCAGACCGCATTTCGGGATGCCAGGCGACGCTCGGGCAACTTGCTGTGCCAACTGCAAAGAGGATGGCATGGTGAACATCGAGAGCCCCAAATGCAGGTGTGGCAGGGCCATACCATATTTCGGGATGCCAGGCGATGCTCGGGCAACTTGCTGTGGTAGCTGCAAAGAGGACGGGATGGTGGACATCAAGAGCCGCAAATGCAGGTGTGGCAGGACCCAACCTCGTTTCGGAATGCCGGGTGATGCTCGGGCAACTTGCTGTGCGAACTGCAGAGAGGATGGCATGGTGAACATCAGGAGCCCCAAATGCAGGTGCGGCAGAGCCCAACCTTTTTTTGGGATGCCAGGCGACGCTCGGGCAACTTGCTGTGCCAACTGCAAAGAGGATGGAATGGTGGACATCAAGAACCGCAAATGTAGGTGTGGCAGAGCCAGACCGCATTTCGGGATGCCAGGCGACGCTCGGGCAACTTGCTGTGCCAACTGCAAAGAGGATGGCATGGTGAACATCGAGAGCCCCAAATGCAGGTGTGGCAGGGCCATACCATATTTCGGGATGCCAGGCGATGCTCGGGCAACTTGCTGTGGTAGCTGCAAAGAGGACGGGATGGTGGACATCAAGAGCCGCAAATGCAGGTGTGGCAGGACCCAACCTCGTTTCGGAATGCCGGGTGATGCTCGGGCAACTTGCTGTGCGAACTGCAGAGAGGATGGAATGGAAAACATTGTAAGTTTGAGATGCCTTGTGTGCGGAAAGCACGCAAGCTACCCAGATGCTACTGGCAAACCTCGACAATTCTGTGCAATGCATTCTGCAGAGGTTGGTGCACGCGTACTGTCCTTATCGATGTTTTCGCGGGCAGCAAGCGATTGTTTGGACATGTTGGAGGAGGAGGTAGGCTACAGGTTCACTTTTCGGCACAGATTCGATGCATCTAGCGGCACTTGGTCCGGCAAGGAGTTTGCAGGTCTGTTTCCAAAGCGTGCTTTTCTTCCGGATGCATACCACCCGGAGAGGCGTGAAGTGGTTGAATTTCTGGGGAACTACTATCATGGCTTTCCTGTGGAGCATCCACGGCTACTTGGTAGCACATATCGCAGCTTCATTGTGTGTCGTTGTGGCACCCAAGTACAAGTACGAGTTTCTGTCATCAGCTCGCAACTCATTCTGTTTCAAGGCATAGCAGCTTCATTTGCGTGGGCGGCAAGCCGGCGCCGGACGTTTATCGTGACACCATGGAACGCCTCGATCTGTTCACAGCGGAGGGGCTCAGCGTCTTCTACATTTGGGAGCACGAATTCGTGGAGTGGCGGAAGCGAGCGTCTTGGCAGAAGCGGGGCTGGGTTTTCTTGAAGCAATTTCCATTGTGAATTTTCCAATCTGCCGTCTTCCTTGGACATAATAATGGTTTCCATGACTCTAAGTTGACTTAGCATGTCAGAAACGTCCAAACTCCTGCCACAACGGTGCATCACGGTGGTAACAAGCCGGTTTCGGTGGCCAGTTCCTTGGCCCCTAGTTTCCCTTACGGGAACTCGTCGCATTCGTTGCGAGTCCGTCCGCCTGCCCAAGCCCAGGCTGCCGCTGGGGAGGCTGGGCCGATCACCAGCCTCCTGCGCCGCCATGAGCCAAAGCACATGGGCCGAAAAGAAGCGTGCGCCTCTCAAACAAGCTGGTCCAGTGACACCCGCTGTTTCCTTTGATGGTGGTAATTGCCCAATTCAAACTCAAAGGGAAGTCCTTTTTTGGTCAGGGTTGTGGGAATTGCGCTGGAAGGTCGTTCCCTGATACCACAGGCCTTGGCAATTTCAGGTCCCTACAACCAACTTGCCTTCGGAACTGGAAACCGCAATTGAACCCTTGGCGAGCAAGGCACCCGAATCTGATAGAGAGCTGAAAAGATTGGCCTTAGAGCTTGCAGTGAAACCTCTTTCGTTGTTTGCTTATTGGTAGCAAATTGCTTCAAAGACTCCCTTGCATCCTTTGAACAGAGGAAGCTGGGCGTTCCTGGAGATGTATCCCCCCTCTCACATTCATACAGCATGCATGAACAGTTATACACATGGATATATGCGTATAAAGCCGCACACACACACACATGTGTATATATATATATATATTTATTTATATGTATGCACATGTGCATGTTTTTTACGTACATGTTTTTCTACATGTAGTTGTAATTACAGCCATAATTATTATGTTGATAGCTGAATGTTACAACAAACCCATGGCTATGCTGGGTCACTTAATTGCCGAACATGGTGAAATCCGCCATGTACCATTCAACCTGCTACACTAGCTGATGGCACCCTTGTTGATTTCGACTAGGCCATTGAGAGTACCGACAAGGCCGTTGATATTTGGTTCATTGCTACTCAAAGCAGGATGCTAAACAACCTTAACAATTCCACAAGTTCCTCATTTGTACAGGAAGCCGCAAGGGGATGGCTATTCACCTACTGTGACGGAAGCTCACTGGTTTCCTTCAGATACTCTTTCCTCGGGTTCCTTTTTCGTGCGTCGGAGGGCTTCTGAAGCTCTTTTAGATCTTCAGCATGTATTTTTTTGCAAAAGCACGCTTCTCCAGGTGCCGCTCTTTCAGGTGCCGGGCTTTCACAGAATTCAGGGTCACTTGGCACTGGAAGCAAGCCTGCCTTCTCATTGCGTGTCACCCGTTACTTCTGAGCGTGGAGCATGGCACGGCTGCGTGCCATGGCTCTGCGGTTTCTGCGCCGCTTGGCCCAGGCGCGGGAGCGGCGGGCTGTCTTTCCATCCGGCGCACCGCCCGCGTTTTTCCGACGAGGTCTGGGGGTTTGTCCTTCTTGGGACTATCTGAAAAGATTCAAGACGAAGGGTCCTTGTTTTGGACAACTGCAAGGTGAATCCTTTGCACTAGCGGAATCCGATATTTTGGAACCTTTTTTTCCCCCGTTTTTTTCTTCTTATTTTTTTGTTTTTATGCTATTTTTGTTCGATGAGGTTTATTCCAAGAAGGCAACAGTTGCAAGGTCCATCCTTTGAACTGCAAGGTCCATCCTTTGAACGATTCGAATCCGATGTTTGTCGTGGAGGTTCCGTGCCAGCATGCGTTCCACCTCATGTTGAGTTAAAATGTTGGGCTTCAATCATGCGTGCCGAGATCTCTTCAATTGTTGTTCAAGATTCAGGGCAATTGTGACAAGTCGTTCGCAAACCTGGTATGCGCAGTCTCTGCCAGGCGCCGCTGCCGTGTCCAGTGCAGCGGCGCCCTTTCGCAGGGGAGTCGCTGGGCGGTGTCCGGGGGCAGCGTGGAGGACGGCGTGGAGGACGGCGTGAGATGTTGTTTCCCGAAAGGAAGCCACAAGAGAGATGGATGTTTCATTCTTCCAGCCTCTCAATGAATTAACACGTTGCTGTTTCTGGCCCTGGTTGCAGCCTGGGCTGCAGCCTGGGCGGTTCCTGACGCGTCGTGTTTTGTGAGGAGAGAGCGACCACGGCAAGAGCAGCACGCCCACCGGCTTCTTTGGCAATACTGGCCTGGCGTATAGAAAGCCGAACATTGGCGGCACACTGGCAGGGCAGTCTGGCTCCTGTGTGTGCGGGCGCGTGCTCCACCCCTCTTTTGGATTTCAGCATGACGCACGACCATCTTGCTGTGCCAGCTGCAAAGAGAACGGGATGGTGAACATCAGGAGCCCCAAATGCAGGTGTGGCAGAGCCCAACCTGTTTTCGGGAATACAGGTGATGCTCGGGCATCTTGCTGTGCCAGCTGCAGAGAGGATGGGATGGTGAACATCAGGAGCCCCAAATGCAGGTGTGGTGCAGCCAGACCACATTTCGGGATGCCAGGTGATTCTCGGGCAACTTGCTGTGCCAACTGCAAAGCGGATGGGATGGTGAATATCAGGAGCCCCAAATGCAGGTGTGGCAGGGCCAGACCGCATTTCGGGATGCCAGGCGACGCTCGGGCAACTTGCTGTGCCAACTGCAAAGAGGATGACATGGTGAACATCACGAGCCCCAGATGCAGGTGTGGCAGAGTTGAACCTGTTTTCGGGAATACAGGTGATGCTCGGGCAACTTGCTGTGCCAACTGCAAAGAGGATGGGATGGTTGACATCAAGAACACCAAATGCAGTTGTGGCAGATCCATACCTTCTTTCGGGATGCCAGGGGATGCTCGGGCAACTTGCTGTGCCAACTGCAAAGAGGATGGGATGGTGAATATCAAGAGCCCCAAATGCAGGTGTGGCAGGGCCAGACCGCATTTCGGGATGCCAGGCGACGCTCGGGCGACTTGCTGTGCCAAGTGTAAAGAGGATGGGATGGAAAACATCGTAAGTTTGAGGTGCCTTGTGTGCGGAAAGTGCGCTCACTATCCAGATGCTACTGGCAAACCTCGGCAATTCTGTGCAGTGCATGCGGCAGAGGTTGGCGCACACGTTTTGTCCTCTTCGAAGTTATCGCGCGCGGCAAGCGATTGTTTTGACATGTTGGAGGAGGAGGTAGGCTACAGGTTCACTTTTCGGCACAGATTTGATGCATCTACCGGCACTTGGTCCGGCAAGGAGTTCGCAGGTTTGATTCCAAAGCGTGCGGTGCTGCCCGATGCATACCACCCGGAGAGGCGCGAGGTGGTTGAATTTCTGGGGAACTACTACCATGGCTTTCCTGTGGAGCACCCACGGCGGCTTGGCAGCACATATCGCCTTGCAGCTTCATTGTGTGTCGTTGTGCCACCCAAAGTGCAAGTACATGCTCAAAAGTAGCCAGCTTACCAACCATTTTTTGTCATCAGCTCGCGACTCGTTTAAGGCATAGCAGCTTCATTTGCGTGGGCGGCAAACCGGCGTCGGACGTCTATCGTGACACCATGGAACGCCTAGATCTGTTCACTGCGGAGGGGCTTCGTGTTTTTTGCATTTGGGAGCACGAATTCGTGGAGTGGCGGAAGCGAGCATCTTGGCAGAAGCGGGGCTGGGTTTTCTTGAAGCAATTCCCATTGCACATTTTCGAATCGGCAGTGCTTCCTTGGACATAACACTAGTTTCCAGGACTCTACATTGACTTAACATAGACATGGCCGAAGGAACCGGTTGTGTTTGTACTAGTTTTCCTTGCTGAAAACGTCGTGAAGCTGGTTTTCCAGGCGGTCGCTGCCAGCTCATTGGCCAGTTCCCTCCGCCCCTGAGCCTCAGGCCGCCGCTGGGGAGGCTGGGCCTATCACCAGCCTCCTGCGCCGCCATGAGCCAAAGCCCATGGGCAAAAAGAAACGTGCGGACCCCGTTGTCCAGTGGCACTCATTGTTCATTGATACAATTCGTCCTCAAAGGGAAGTTTTGTTTTGTTGCGGGAATTGTGTTAAACGAATCGTTGCTTTTAAGCGAGGGTCATGATATCGCTGGAAGGCCCTGCCAAATTGCCTTCTTCAAGGAGGAGGAAACCAGTTGTCAAAGCCAGAACCATCTTTCTGCATGTAACAACCAACTTGCCTTGAGAACTGAAGAAATCATACCTCAAGTGTCCAGTCTGGACACCTTAAATTGAACCCTTGGCGAGCAAGAAAAGGCGCCCCCATCTGAACGAGAGCCGAGGCTCTGTCGATTCACCTGTTCGATCTCGTGGAAACGAACCCGGGCTCCAAACGCTCTCAGTGCAACCTCTTTCGTTGTTTTCTTATTGGTAGCCAGCTTCAAAGAGTCCCTTGCATTCTTTGAAGCAGAGGAAGCTGGCGTTGCTGGAGATGTATCCCCCCTCTCGCATTCAGACAAATGCATGAATATCCACACGGATACATACCTGAATATATATATATACATATATATATATGTAAAAAAACAAACATATTTGCTTATATGTTTTGTAAACGCTTTGTGTTGCTCCCCTCGGTCAGTTTGGTTTTGACTGGCTTGGAGGTACTGTGTTTTGGTTTGCCTTGAGGTGTGGTGTTTGTTTGAGTGAGTGAGTCGGCATGATGGAGGGTGGGTGCATGTTTGCGCGTTTCCACATGACTTAGGGAGTTGCAGGAATCTTGGTGGACTGTGGCCAAGACGAGGGCCTGGGCTGAGGAGCTACGACAAGAACAGTTTGGTTGGGGCTGACCTGTTTAGGGTGGTTTCTAGAGGGGAGGGTTTCTAGGGGACTTGCGCGGTTGCACCGCTATTGAGGGTTGCTAAAGGGTTTCTCGGAAGGCTTTGACCTTTGCCCGGAGTTGGACCGGTTTTTTAGAGGGGATTTTCACTGGTTCGGTTTCAGGGAAACTTTGCCTGGTTTTTAGAGGGCTTTGACCGGAGTTGGGCCAGTTTGAGATGGTTGGAGAGGTTGGGGAATTTGCCCAGTTTCTAGGGCGGTTTCTAGGCACATTTGACTGGACCGGCTTTTAGAGGGACTTGACTTGTTTCTAGACAGTTTGAGATTGGTTCTACATTTGACGTTTCACGCGGTTTTTAGGGGGCTTTGACTGGAGTTGGGTGGTTTTAAAACGGAAATTGAGCGGTTTCCAAGAGCGCCTGCAGCTAGAGGGGCGAAGATCTTGAAGAGGTTTTGAAGGGTCTGACCATCTATATATATATATATATGCGAAGATACATGTGTTGATACGTATGTATGTATATCTATACACATGCGCATGTTTACACGTACATTGTTTTATTTGTATGTATGTTACAATGAATCCATGGCTATGTT